GTAGTTATGCAAAGAGACGAACATATTACTTTTTACAACAGTCCCTCGAAAAGGAGGGCAGGCACAGGTCTGGCATATCCCAAAGGCAAGAGGGACACCGCATGTCAACACAGAATTAATTTATATTAGTCCCTGAGGGGTCTCTGGACACACCCTAATTTTCACAACACTCAAAAGTTAGATTTTATGGCCATAATCTCACATCAGCAAAGACTTAAACAGTGTGCCTTTCTCTCAAGGCTACCAATATTATTTGCCAGAAGCCTCCTCTTACTCAAAAAAGGTATCAGAGAACTGGCAACAGACACGTTCTTCACCATCAAGAGGGAAGTGAGGCCTGTCTTCTGATATCTTTTGCAAAGAAAAGGACTCTGAGCTCAAGCTAAAGCTCCCTAAAACCCTGAGAGCACTTGCACTTTTCAGATTTTCTTCTTGGCCACTACCCTGTGTTTAAAACACTCCCTTATTCCAAACAACCCCTTGCCCTTCCCACAAATCGGAAGATGTTGAAGGTCTGTTCAGTTGGTCTTCAGTGATATAGTGACACAGAGGAAAATGGGAAGAAAGGAATATTTCAGGACCATCCATACAACAACCTACTTCTTTAAAAAAAAAAAACAACAAAAAAACCCACAAATCGAATCTCAGTTTAGTTCTCAAACAATCTGGTCATGTGCACTTCCAAATTAATTTGCATAAACAGGATGGGAAGTATTTTCCAAACCCTTAATTCACAACACCCTACACACCTGGGCCTTCAAGCACAGCTGTAAAATTTGAAAGACAAAGGCCCTCTTGCTTCACAACTAGAATGGCAACCACAGTTGGTGTTTATTTTCTAATGTAATCATAAGCACCACTTCTGTGGCAAAACTGGCAGGGTTAGATCCAAGCAACTGGATTTGGTATTGTAAACGCATAGCACAAAAACTCTCCAATCAATAAACTCATCTTCATGTGGCTTGGGATAACACATCTGGTGTCCTTTTGTGAATGTCCTTGCTTTTGAATGGCCTGTCATCTTTCCCTCCACACTGAGAACAAAAAGCAAGGTTTGTTCTTCCTCCCTTCCCAGTCCCAATCAGCTATCAGAACTTTTAAACTACAATATTTTATGACTAAACACTGTGCTGAAATTTATGCCACAGGTAAGAGTCTACCGTAGCTTGCATTCAATGCTTCTTAGCTTCTGAAACCATGTTCTCAAAAATAATTTCAAACATCTGAGTTCAACTTCTTCTAAGGTTCTGGGAAGTTGGAACAAGGCTTGGCAATGGCTCGGTGCTATTTATGAATGTGCTGGTTGGGCTGTGCCAATCTCACCTACGTAATGGGATGGAAGACTGAGTTATGGCTTGACTGCTATAGCTGTAAGTTATTGTGCTGAATAAGTTATCTTCTAGCCCCTAGAATGAAACAATATTCCCCTCTATCCACTCCATTCTGTTTCTTCTATTCACAATGCATTTACATTCACTATTTAAAATTTTGCTTTGTTAGGCCCAGTAGCAACTTCAAAAGTAGATGCACTGTTTACAAAAGCAAAAAAAAAAAAATAAAAAAAGGCAGGGTGTGGTGGCTCACACCTGTAATCCCAGCAACCTGGGAGGCAGGAGGATGGATGGCTTGAGCTCAGTGAGTTTGAGGCCAGCCTGAACAATAGCAAGACCCTATCTCTACTAAAAACAGAAAAATTAGCCAGGCATGGTGGTGCGAGCCTGTAGTGCTAGCTACTCGGGAGGCTGAAGCAGGAGGATCGCTGGAGCCCAGGAGTTGGAGGTTGCTGTGAGCTATGATAATGCCATTGCACTCTACCCAGGGCAACACAGCAAGGCTCGCTCTAAAAAAAAAAAAAAGTCCCATAAAGCCACAAGTCCCATGCTATCTCAAACCCACAGCCTGAAATTGTTTGAACTAGCTGCAATAAATCTAGTTCATAGGATTATAAACTAGCTCAAAGCATTTTCTAGATACAATGGACTTAGAGGGTGTAAACTTGGTGAAACTTCAAGATATTTTATTATATTACATGCAGAGAATTTCTCCCCTAAAGTCTTACTGAATCGCAGGCAGGAATATAAGCAGTATAAATATTCTTATGGAAATCTCAGAATAAGACTAGTGGTTTAAATTGAGAAATCTTAAGTCTAGGGGGAAAAAGCCACATTTGCTTGATTTTTCCTTAATCAGAAATAACTTCACAAATGCTTTTGAAAGAATGGCTATGTTGTATTATACACCGTGTTGCCACATACTAACCAGACATTGCACTGCTCACATCTTAAAATCTAATCAGTTAACATCATAATCAGTATAATTAAGTCTAGTAAGGCTCAAAATACTTAGTTTGGGGCCGGGCGCTGTGGCTCACGCCTGTAATCCTAGCTCTTGGGAGGCCGAGGCGGGCGGATTGCTCAAGGTCAGGAGTTCAAAACCAGCCTGAGCATAAATAGAAAGAAATTAATTGGCCAACTGATATATATATAAAAAATTAGCCGGGCATGGTGGCGCATGCCTGTAGTCCCAGCTACCTGGGAGGCTGAGGCAGAAGGATCACTCGAGCCCAGGAGTTTGAGGTTGCTGTGAGCTAGGCTGACGCCACGGCACTCACTCTAGCCTGGGCAACAAAGCGAGACTCTGTCTCAAAAAAAAAAAAAAAAAAAAAAAAAAAACTTAGTTTGGTATTTATTGATCATCAAATGTGTGAGTAAAAGAGAAAGATTGCAAGTTTAAAGGTATGTCATTCCTGGACAACAAAAAGCATTAAAAAAAAAAAAAAAAAAAGACCAGTATGTTTTGCTCCAAAAATTAAAGGGCAAGGCAAAGTCAATCTTGTGACCACGGGAAAGTGCAAATAAGAGGACACCTTGTCCTCTCTGGGAAGTCACCGCTTCAGAACTAAGTGCCTTCCGGACAAAGCCACTGACACATGGCACTGGGAGTCTGTCTTCCAACAGGTGAACACTTAAGATGTTAATCTGATTTTGCTCACATAATTCTATCTAAAAAAAAAAAAAAAAAACTACCTTGAGAATGTAAACGGGAAAAAAAAAAAAAAGAGTTGCAAAACCCCAGACTGCCTCAGCTAAACAAAACACTACCTAGAGCAATACTGGGCTCTGTCTCCCGGTACTGAACACAGCTACTGCCTGGGCTGAAACTCACCACGGATTTTCACTGTCAGTGAATTAATTCCCCGGAAGAGGAGACCCAACCTAACTCCAAAGGGCCCTGGCAGGCTTCAGAACCCCAGCACCTGCTCGTGGGCCGTGTGTCTCTCTGCGGGACCCTGTAAAAGACCCACGCACGCCCCCAATGCCAGGGGCACGGTCAGAAAGGAATCAACTTTCCCTCCTGCCCCTGGCAGCAGCCGGACAACCAGCCAGACAGACCACGTTTCCTTCCACCGGGGGCCACGAGAGTGTTGATTAAAAAACTCGCGCGGCCAGTTTTGATTCTCTTTTTTTTTTAAGCAGCCAGTCTGCCATGCCTGAGGTCAGGACTGTCCCCCTTGAGTGTTCTAGGAAGGACGGCCAGCTACCCAGCCGGGAAGCCGACGACCCGCTCGGGCCAGGCCCGTTTCTAGAAGGCGCGGAGCAGCTCTGCAGAGACGCCGACCACTGACGGACAGACAGCGCGTCAGGATCTGACGCCTGGGCCAGACTTTTCCAGAAGCAGAAGAAGGCGGCCACCCTATTCTACCACGCTTGCAGAACGCTGGTGTCTTTTTTTTTAATTTTTTTTTAATTTTTTCCTGCCAAATCTGCCGTTAAGAAGTGTCCCATGCAGTCCTAAGGGGCCCAAACCGCGACAGCGGAGGAGAGAGCCTCTTCCCGGAGAAACAAACTCCGGCTTCCCCCGGCCGGGGCCCTGGACCCCGTCTCCCCGGGCTCCAGCACCCCGAAACTCGCTCGCACCGCTCACGGCGGGGAGAGGGGGCAGACAGGAAGGACAGGAAGGGGCTGGCACACACAGCTCCCTGAAATGCCAACCGGAGGGGAAAGGACGACCCCCGCGCCCCGCACCGAGCCCCGCACCCGTCCAGGGACCGCCGCGCCCGCTGGTAAATAGCGTGAGCGCGAGCCGCGAGTCCCTTCAGACGAGGGCTGGACGCCAAAGAGTAGGGTCCCAGGAGAGGGCAAAGGTCGCGCGGACCCCAGAGCCCCACGGCGACTTCCTCACGCGCGCCCCCAGACGTGTCCCTCGCACCCACAGAAACACTGTCACCTCCAGATGCCACTCACGAACTAACCCCAGGTCGCCCTCGCGCGCGCGACTCCGGACCCCGAGGGGCGACTCCGGTCCCCTGAGGGGCGAGTCCGGTTCCCCGAGGGGCGACTCCGGTCCCCCGAGGCGCGACTCCGGTCCCCTGAGGGGCGACTCCGGACCCCCGAGGGGCCACTCCGGTCCCCCGAGGGGCGACTCAAATCCCCGAGGGGCCACTCCGGTCCCCTGAGGGGCGACTCAAATCCCCCGAGGGGCGACTCCGGACCCCCGAGGGGCGACTCCGGACCCCCGAGGGGCGACTCCGGTCCCCTGAGGGGCGACTCAGGTCCCCCGAGGGGCCACTCCGGACCCCCGAGGCCCGACTCAGGTCCCTGGAGGCGCGACTCCGGACCCCCGAGGCGCCACTCCGGTCCCCCGAGGCGCGACTCCGGTCCCCCGAGGCGCGACTCCCGACCCCCGAGGCGCCACTCCGGACCCTCGAGGGGCGACTCCGGTCCCCCGAGGCCCGACTCCCGACCCCTGAAGGGCGACTCCCGACCCCCGAGGCGCCACTCCGGTCGCCCAGGCGCGACTCCGGACCCCCGAGGCGCCACTCCGGACCCCCGCAGCCCCCACGTCCCCCCTCTGTCGCCCGGGCCCGCACGGTGTCGCCTCGGCCACCCCGCGACTCCTCACACACACACACGCACGCACGCAGCAGCCCGCCCGCCCGCACCTCCCGCGGGCGAGACCCGCCACCCGGACCCCGGGCCGGAAAGGGAGGCGGCACTCACAGGCTCCGCGTCCAGGACGGCAGGTCCCCGGGCAGCGCCGCCAGCCCGCGCCCGCCGCAGTCCAGGGAGTCCCCGGCGCAAGTGCAGGCGGCCGCGCAGGGCGCCCGCGGCCGGCACAGCCGCCGGCGCGCGGCCGCAGCAGCAGCAGCAGCGGCAGCAAGCGCAGCAGCGGCGCGGCGGCACAGGAGCAGCGGGCCGGGCGGCGGCGGGGCCCGAGCCTCCCCGGCCGGCCGCGCCATCTTGTGTGCAGCGCGCCGCGGATCCGGGCGCGGGGCGGGTCCCGGCGCCCGCTCGCTCTAGCTCCGCGCCGCGGCATGGCCGCCCGCGCAGGTCGCTCAGCGGGCCGCCCCGCAGCCGCCGCCCATCGCGCCGCCCGCCCGCGCTCGCTGCGAACCCCTCAGGCCCGGGCCGGCGCCCCTCGTCCTCCCGCCGCCGCCGGCCGAGGGCAGTGCGGCCCCGCTGAGGGAAGGCAGGCGCTCAGCCCCGCGGCCCGAGCCCGGCGCCCACGGGCATCGTCCTCACGGCGCGGAGCGCAGAGTGGCGGAGCGCGGGCGGGCGGGCCGGCGCGGCCAGCCCCGAGCGCCTCGCTGTCCCGGGGTGGCGAGGGCAGAGCGCGCGCAGTGCCGGGGCCGCTCGGCTCCTCAGCGCAGCCAGAACCCCGCCGACCTCGCGGCCGAACAATCAGCCGCTCGCTGCGAGCCTCCCCGCCGCCCAGCCCGGGCCGGTCCCCCAGGCCCCGCCCCCGGCCGCGCGGCCTCACACACCCCCTGGGCTCCGCGCGCCGCGGCCGCCCGCCGGCCCACGTTGGATGCTTTGCAACAGCGCCCCGCCACGCCCCCCGCCGGCTGCCCATTGGCTGCCGAAGTCCAGCCTCGAGGGCCATTGGAGCGCTCGCGGGGGATCCCGCCCCTCCCGCGGCGCCGGCCACCCCGCCCCCACACTCTTTTCCCACCCGAGGTGTGAAGGGCGGGGGACTGGGAGGGGAGAGGGAGGGGCGGCCCCCGCCTCTTAAAGGGGACGTAGCGCTGTGGGTGGAGAAGGGCGACTCGGGCCGGGAAAGGAGGCGAGTAGCTGTGCCCGCTGCGTCTGCAAGCGGCGAGAAAGTTGGTTAAGAGAGTAACGCCCCGCGTTGGAACTGTCTGGCCCCGACGGGGTTCCCCCCCCCTCCTTTCCTGGCTGCAAGGAGGGCCGCAGATTTGCAGCGCATTTGCCAGGTGCCTTGCGGGAGCAAAGGCACAGGTTTAAATCCTGACGCTCTCCTCCTGGTCGGGGCGTTGGTTGCTTCTTTGGGGCCGGCCCCGTCTCCTCCCGCAGCCGGGGGCTCCTTTCTGCTCCTCCCCCGAGCTTGCAGGCTGCAGTCCATCAGGGTGTCCTTGATTACCAAAATGCATGGTGCATGCATGGTGCATGGGTGAATGCAGACGCCAAAGGTGTAGCGAGTTGCCGAAAACGTCAAGTCGTAAAAACAAAATAAAAGAATTTTAAAAATTATTTTTAAAATAATTTAAAAAATTAAGAGAGAAAGAAAGATAAGAGAGGGAGAGAGAGAGAGAAGAAAGAAAGAAAGAAAGAAAGAAAGAAAGAAAGAAAGAAAGAAAGAAAGAAAGAAAGAAAGAAAGAAAGAAAGAGAAAGAAAGAGAAAAAGAAAAAGAAAGAGAGAGAGAGAGGGAGGGAGGGAAGGAAAGGAAGGAAAGGAAGGAAAAAGGAAGGAAAAAGGAAGGAAAAAGGAAGGAAAGAAACCAAAGGTGCGCCTCCTTGCCTTGCCCCAGGTAGTGGAAGGGTATTTCTGGAAATGCCCCAGCCTTTGATTAAGGGGTTCCCTTGTTGTTACTGTTGTTCCTTTGTTTTGTGTGTGTGTGTGTTTCCAATCAGAGCCTTTTAAAGTCGGTTTCAAGAAGTCACAGCCACAGTGCTCCTAAAAGACAGAATAAAAGGGAAAACGACAGTTACCTCTAACTTTGGCTGTCACAGACCAGAACATAGCAGCCATGTGTTACATGACAGTGCACGAAAACAGTAAGGCAGACACACACACTCCTTATGGGAAAAAAAAAAAAAGGAAAAGATTAGCACTGTAATATATAGCTGCCCCCTCTGGGCGCTTGGGTTTGCAGGGTGTCTCATATTCCTTCCCGGGTGTAAGTTTCTAACAAAACTGCACACATTGTCAGGAAAATTAAGCAGGTCAAATCTGTTGGAAAACATTTGCTACAGCACATTAAATCTGAGTTGTGTTTTATGGAAACGAGGGGAAGGAGATGTTCCTCAGGAAGAAAAGCAAAAAAAAAAAAAAATTTTTTTTTAAAGCTTTTATTCCACTGTTAGCACATTCTAAGGGATTTGCTTTCATTGAAGAGCACTAAATGTGTTAAACTTTCCCTCCACTGTAAGATCACCTCTTTTCTTTAACCAAAGTTTGGTCTGGGCTTGGTAATCAAGTGGCTGCTGGTTGCCTTTCTTATCCTTTCCTTCCCTCTTTTTCCTCCTTCCTCTTCTGATTAATTAAGCCCTGAGATAATGGTGCCTCATTTTTCTTCTTCTTCTTCTTCTTCTTTTTTTTTTTGGTATGATCTTAGCATCGATGCCCAAAGCAGTGTTCAAACATGCGTGTAAATCAAATCTGATTCCCAAGAAATATTATTGGAAAAATTCTGCACCTGACCCATTCCACCCAAGACTTTAAGCAGCTTTTATGTTTCATTCGTAATCCATGTAAACGTACACCTTCCATCTGGACGAGAAGAAATACGTTTGTTTTCATGCCTTTTGGTAAAGATAATGATAAGCCAGGGGAATAGAAGTTAAAGGACCTCAAATTTATGAAATCTTCCATGTCAGTGTTTAAGTTTTTCAAGACCAGAAAACATTAAACAGTCATTTAATGCAGAATACCCATGGCCATTTTTAAAAACAAAACTGTCAGATCACCCAGCCTCCCCCCCCCCCAAAATAAAGTATGCATATGCAGCAAAAATAAATTGAGCTGACGGAACCTCTTGAGATGCTGACCCAAAATTATCTTTCGGATCTGTCCCACTATCAGTATTGCAAACGTTTTCCAAGTGTTTATGGGTATACCTGTGAGATGTTCTTTGGGGATCCCAGAGTTCTGGGGCGTGGGATCGGAGAATCTGCAAGCTGAGGGTCCCCCCACAGATCTGAAGCATGCCCCTCTGGTCTGGTTACCACACAGCGAGAGAAAAGGATTTCAGAGCTCAGGAACAGTGTGGGGGAAGGGAGCCTGAGCCTTGGCAGTTCTTTTTGTCTACAGCAAAGCATGAAGTCATGTCTGCTCCCCATACCATGTATGGAAGTTCGCCCACATGCTAGCAACCTGCCTGCTAATGGCAATGGGAGTGTGGGCTTGGAGAGCGGTGACATCCAGCTCAGGGGAGAATGCTTCTGTGACCAAAACTTAAGATCAGGGAGACCTTAACAACAACAATGGCGAGTTTCTAAGGGAATCTATGTCCCGGCTTGTAAAAAAGCAAGTCTTGGTCCATTCAGCACACAACAGAGCAACAGTTGATTCCAATACTCTGGGTCCTTATTTTCCAAACACTGCTACTTTCAAAAATTTTAAATAGTTACTTATTCCTTGAGTGGGTCAGGTAGGGATTTTTTTTTTTTCCAGTTCATTTTAATCTATCAGACTCCAAACTCCAGGGCCAACATGGAATCAAATCCCCAGGGACAATCACAGCAGAATACAGAAGCCCTAGAAATTAATCATCCTAAACCACCACTAGAGAGAGAAACCCAAAATCTAAAAACACCTGAAATGACCAAGAATTGGGGAAAGAAGCAAATGACAAGGTAGCAAAAAAAAGTAGGTTGACCACATGGATTTTTGTTTTAAACACAACTTCCTGGGGACTGAATTGCAACAGTTTGCTACAGTTCTAGGTGGTGACAATTATTCAGGGGTGCTTTCTTTTTTTATTTTATTTTATTTTATTTTATTTTATTTTATTTTATTTTATTTTATTTTATTTTATTTTTTGCTCAAGAAACTAAAATCTACCAGGGGTGCTTTCTTAATGTTACATTACGTTCTGTTCATCAAAAGAGCACGCGGGCAGCATTCAGAAGACCTGAGGTCTAGCCAGGCCTTGCTACCCACGAAACCTTTTCTTTAAGCCTCAATTTTCTCAAATGGAAAACAAGGATAATGGTACCTTGTGGCTGCTAAAAGAGTTAAGATCCACTTGACAGAGGACACCAGTGGTGTTTTAAACTGTTTAGGGCTACATACGTTTAAGGTGTTATTGAATTTTAACTTAACTGCAAAACATTGAGAGCCCCTGTCTATAATATAGATGGAAAATCTTAGTAGGTTCTTTCAGCATGAGGGTTTCTTTTCCAGGAATGTGACAAAGGGTTAATAATTACCTATCAAACCCCTGAAGACTTGCAGGGTGATGACAGCCCTGCTTTGAGCCTGTTTTGTATCTCTCTTCCAAGGAAAATAAAACTGTGTGCTCATTAACTCCTTCCTTGCAATAATCTTGTCAGGGAGATGGATTGGTGGAGAAGGTGAGGGAGGAGACTCATGAGTCTGGCGATAGAATATAAGAAGAGACAATTGTGGGATCTCCCTGGCCTCCATTTCAACAGTTTCCTTTGGCGGAGGTGAGGAGAGGTGTGCTGTATCGTGCAATCGCTGGCTATTGAAATGTTGGTTAATGCCCAAACAGTGCTAGGCTGTAACTGCTGCATTTCCTTAGCAAGAAATGGCTGGTCCCTGCAGCTCAGCTGTGAGCCTTCACAGGTTCTTCTACAGAGTAGCATTGACCAGGGGCCGAAAACCTTTAGAATCCACCTTTTTATTATTATTATTAGTATTATTAGTATTATTAGTATTATTATTTTAGACAAAGTCTTGCTCTGTCCCCCTGGGTGTAGTGGCATCATTGCACAGCAACCTCAAACCCCTGGGCTCAAGCCATCCTCCTGCCTCAGCCTCCCGAGTAGCTGGGACTACAGGTGTGCACGGGCTAGCCCACGAGGCACCGGGCTAATTTTTCTATTTTTAGTAAAGACAGAGTCTCACTCTTGCTCAGGCTGGTCTCAAACTCCTGACCTCAAGGGATCCTCCCGTCTCGGCCTCCCAGAATGCTAGGATTACAGATGTAAGCCACTGTGCCCAGCCTAAAATCCACTTTCTAACACCAACTAGAACCTGGACACTTGTCCTTAGGTTGTGAACTTACAATTTTAACTGGTTCACTGAAAGGATTTAAAAAAAAAATTTTTTTTTTTTTTGAGATACAGTCTCCCTCTGTTGCCCTGGGTAGAGTGTAATGGTGTTGTTATAACTCTCTGCAACCTCAAACTCCTGGGCTCAAACGATCCTCCTGCCTCAGCCTCCCGAGTGTAGCTGGGACTACAGGCATGTGCCGCCATGCCCGAATAATATTTTTCTATTTTTTAATAGACTTGCTCAGGCTGGTCTCGAACTCCTGACCTCAAGGGATCCTCCCGCCTCGGCCTTCTAGAGTGCTAGGATTACAGGCGTGAGCCAGCGCCCCAGCAGGATTTAAAAAAATTGTGAAAGCTCTGAGCCTTTCAAGATTCTGAGATTATTCTGGAGTGATGCTCAGTTCAAGAGGCAGCCCCTTAGCTCCGCCCACGATGATGAAGAATGGGCTCATTACATCACCCCCAGAGACTGTGGGGCTCACCCCCAATCTGCTGCCTTTCCACTTGTCACTTGGAGCAGCACACGAAAGGGCAGGGAGTCAAAATGTATGCCTTACTGCCAGCAATTCAGATGTAACACTTTGATGTATATAAAGAACAGCACATTTATCATAACTTGAAATAATCATCCTCATGAAGTCATCACATACCTTGTATTTTTCAAAGCAATGTCTCATCATAACAACAGCTACCATTTACTGGGCACTTATGTGTCTGTCACTTTGCCGAGTGCTTTATATACTTTTTTTTTTCAAATTGAGGTAGGAGTTAAGAAAAAAACACCAAGGCCACACAAGCTCATAAGGGGCAGGGCCAAGATTCCAAGCCAGTTCCGTGCACACCAAAGATCCATTTTGACATTTGAGCCTCATGACCTTTGAATATGATCGTTGTTATTGTTCCCACTTTACAGACAGGAAAGCTGAGGTTCACCGATTGTCCCAAGTCACACAGGGTTAGGAATAGGGTCCTAAAGTTCTATCACAACCACTGTCACACACTTTATAGTCAGTATGCGTCTTATGGCCAAGCACGGTGGCTCATGCCTGTAATCCCAGCACTCTGGGAGGCCAAGGCAGGAGGATCACTCAAGGTCAGGAGTTCGAAACCAGCCTGAGCAAGAGCAAGACCCCGTCTCTACTATAAATAGAAATTAATTGGCCAACTAAGAATATATATAGAAAAAAATGAGCCGGGCATGATGGCACATGCCTGTAGTCCCAGCTACTCGGGAGGCTGAGGCAGGAGGATCGCTTGAGCCCAGGAGTTGGAGGTTGCTGTGAGCGAGGCTGATGCCACGGCACTCACTCCAGCCCGGGGAACAAAGCGACACTCTGTCTCAAAAAAAAAAAAAAAAAGTATGCATCTTCTGAGATGGATCGTGCTTCTGTTCAAGGATAGCTGAGAATGGACAGAATTTCTTTTCTTTTCCATACTTACTAATACATTCCCCAAATTTCCTATGATCAATAAGCTAAAGTATTAAAAGATGAACGTGTTGACCTTTTTCCCCACCATACACTTACATAATAATGGTTAATAATTACTGGGCACTTACTATGCACTAGACATGATTTCAGTTATGGCTTAATTTCACCGAAGTTGCATAAGAATTCTATGAGATAGGCACCATAGAGATCATGATTGTATAGATGAAGTTACTGAGACTCTGAGGTCAATAGACTTACCCAGGTGATATCCTACTTAGCTGTT